CTCCTGCTGCTGCTGTTGCTGCTACTACTACTACTACTACTGCTACTACTACTACTACTACTACTGCTACTGCTACTACTACTACTACTACTACGACGACGACGACGACTACTACCACTGCAGCTACTGGTACTGCAAGTATGACCAGTAGTACTACCGGCTTGTGTGCTCAGGGTTGATCTTGCTTCCTGATGGATAGTCGTGCGGAAGTTCGTCCGAGGCCCTGATGGCCAAAGACAGCCTTTGCGGGTACAGCACCCAAGCCGGAGACCGAGCAACACTTTAGCGTTTAGGGCTTAGGACTTAGGGTTTAGGATTTAGTGGTTTAGGGTCAAGGGTTTGGGATTTAGGCTGTAGGGTTCAGGGTTAGGGTAGTCCAGGCGAGCATGGCTTGGCGTGAACAAAACGGCAGCAACGTTTGAATCAACTCAGGAGCCTAGCATAGTAGAGCCTGGTGTGCACCCGCAAACCCTCACCAAATCATGTACTGCTGGCCCGCATGCTTGTTTTGGATTCTGGCACTGCTTGAGTGCATGAGCCGCCGTCTATGTCTCTGACGCTTGCCTGTGGGTTTCCCGGTGAAGAATTTCCATACTAACATGCTTCAAAACCTGCAATTGCAGCCTGTGCTGCACTCAACAAACACCCGCTGAGTCCACAAGGAGTTCCTTAAACAAGATGAGCGTAAAGAAATGCATCACGCAGCCAGTTTAACGAAGGATGTAAGATGTATTAAGTATGTGGGCAGCCGAGATCTAGGCAGCAGCGCTACACCCTTACACTTTCCATCACAGTCTTTCCAAATTTGCCGCTTCTGACCAACTCTTGCTGCACTGCTGTGTCGGCACCCGCAGCAGGAATCCGAACCCCCAACTCCAAAATCCCCAAACCATAAAACCTGAACCTTAAGCTGCCCAAGACTAACGCAAACCCCTGTAAATCCCTAAACCCTGCTCCCTGAACCCTAAAATCCCCAAACCCTGAGCTTCCCCAATTGTTCCCAAGGTCTTCTGGCTGCTTGCCTTCATCACTTTCATTACCGTCTGCTATGCTGCAGCCTGGAGCCTGGGTGAGGGCTTAAAAAACACCGCGCGGAGTATCGGTCTTAGGATTTAGGACTTTAAAGGTTTAGGGTTACGGGTTTATAGAGTAGATCAGAATTTAGGCTTCGGCTTGAGGGTCTCGGTGTTCAAGAGTCAGGGTTGAAGCTTGAGTGTAGTTCAGCATTAAACTGTCAGAGTTTAGGGTTCACTGATAGGCTGTAGGGGCTTGGGGTGTTTTGGTGGAGCTTGAGCGCAGGCTTCCTGCGACTTCCATGTGTGTGCTTGACGATGCCACCTCTGCATATATGCTGTCGAAGATGTCTGTCTGCAAGGCACAGAATTCAGGCAGCAAGGTAACGCAAAGTTAAAAAGTGCAAGGCAGAGGAAGCCCGTGCGTAATGTTATCCACAACCGACTGGCAATTTACCTGAACAACGCCATTCCACAGAAGCGTGCGCGAAAGACTTACAGAGTCCGTCCCGCAACTTCAACTTGCACAGTTTTCTGCTGAGGTCGATTCGTCCGGGCGTGCGGCCATCGCACTGTAGTCTGAGAAGCACTGCGAAAAGCAGGCGGAGCTCAAGACTTGATATGGCGCTTTCAACAAGTACAGTATGTAATCGTGGCATCTATATGTTAAACATGCATGACATCGAAGCCCCCTCTTACTTCTGTAGAGCTGTTACTCCGCAAGTGCGCTGTGGTCACATGTGCTTCGTGGGACCATGGGACGTCGCAGGGGTGGATTCCACAACTGCTGCCGCAGAAATAGCTTGGGGCCAGCCAAGGACCTCGGTTGCAGCATGCCTCGCTGATTGGAAGACAAAAAGATTGTTTTTACTTCAGGGTTTAGGGTGTGGGGATGAGGAGGTTGTTCCGACTAGGCCTAGAGCAATGAAGCCCTAAACCCGAAACCGTCAGTTTCTGTATGTTCTCTGGTGTTCTGTCTGTGCTCCTGCAGATTCAATCCATGGGGGTTCAAGTTGCAGTTCACGCTTAATATGGAACCTTGACTGGTACAAGCACATGTCCTTAGGGCTCTGTTTTCTAAATATACTAATGATGTTATACCTCCGGAACCCGGTTCTACTTGTTAAGACCCCAGCTGAGCCCTCGAAAGATTGCAGTCAGACCGCGTAAGCTTAGATCCCAAGTATACGCATACTATAAAGGTCTGCATATCGAATGGAATTATCCCCATCAGACACTAGACCATACAACTATAGTACAACACAGCACCAAAGCAACACCCTTAAAAATCGAACCCTTTAAAGGAACCCTCTTTCTAATTAGGGTTTGATTGAAAAACTAGACCTGGCTTCCGGAGATGGAAAGTGTTCTAAATTAGGGCCCCCTATATAAGGCTTACTATTCTGATATAAGGTTTCTTCAGAGGTATTGGGCATATGGGGCTCTCATGTGCCATGCGGCCCGGTGGACGCCTCTTTGCCTGACCTTCGGGCTCAAGTTGCACTAGACACCCACGGCCCTAAGTACTTCTATGGACCCTCAAAGGCCATAAATATTCATGCGCCGGAAAGTATAGGGTTAAGACTGTTCAGCCCTAAAGCAGGCACAAGTCGAAGCCCATGCCCTCAACCCTAGAAGCGCCCACTACACCCTAGAACTCCCACAGCGCTGAACCCCGAGCCTTCAAACCGTTAACCCTTAGCTCCCTTCGCCTGAAGTAACCCCCTAATTATGAGCCCTAAGCCGAAAGCCTCAGACTAACAAACCCTATCAAGAACCTCAGCCCCTGAAACCCCCCAAACCCCCCACAAAGCCAAGCCCTGAGCCCAAATGTCTGATAACCGCAGAGTCCCGTGAACATCGCGAGACGACGGATGTCGCGGCTGCAGGGGTGCGCCAAGCTGGATGTCTTGCTATTCCCGGAGGGTCCATGTACCCATATAGTATCTACTTTGGCCCCGCAAGTACCTGTACAGGGAGTACTTTAAGGCCTAACTAATCATATGCTATAAGGGTACATAGACCCTTAGAGTTTTTGAGGTCGATAATTCTGGGTTGTCAGGATTAGATTTGCGACTTACATATAGTCCCCATTGTAGTTCCTTTTTGGGGTTACCTTATAGGATCCTGAGTACAAACCGGTGAACAACCCCCAACAAAAGGAACGACAATGGAGACTATAGGTAGGGTTCGTGGTCCCTATAAACCTTATAAACCCTAAAGGCCCTAAACCTTAAACCCTACAGGCCCTATAAACCCTGAACCCTACAAGCCCTGAGCCATAAAGGCCCTACAGGCCCTAAACCCTAAAGGCCTAGACCCTAAACCCTAAACCCTACAAGTAGTCTCCAGCGCCTTTGCTAAGGGGGCCTGTGAAGGCTTTGCTGGCTTGCTGGCCGCTTTATGGGTGTAGTTGTTTAGGGTTTAGGGTTTAGGGTTTGGTGCTGATTTACGACCTAAAACTCCTAAACCTAAACCCTAAATCCTCAACCCTAACTTCGTCCGCAAGCTCGAACCCAGAACTTAAATTCCTTCATATCAGCATCCGAAGTCTTGAACCTTGTCTACACTTGCTTCTCCTGCCATCCCTGTCTGTAACTCCCAAATTTAAGGGTCCTAGCTACTGTTACGGGAGATACTTTCCCAAACCTTAGTAAGGATTCCTAATATAGAAACCCCACATTGGGCCACTTGGGTTTCGACACCCACTGCCCACGGGTCCCAAAGCCCTGCACCCTCCGCAGGCGCATGGAGGTGTGCGAAAATCCGCTCGGGTCCCGGCTGTGGAATGCGAGGAGCCGGGTGTTGGGGTTAGGGTTTAGGGTTCAGGGTCCCAGGGTTTAGAGTTTAGGGTTTAGGGTCCCAGGGTGTAGGGCTGAGAGTTTAGGGTGCCGAAAACTAACAGAAGCAAACCATGCATGGTTTGGTCTTCGGTTTCTTTCGTCCGAAAGCCTACATCCCTCAGCCCCAACCTAGACGCTGAACTCAACGCGCCACCCTTGAATCCGAATACCAGGTTCAAAGAGGTCACATGGGTAGATCTCTAGATTAGGCTCCTTTATGGGGTCCTTTTTATAAGGGTGCCATACTATATTGGGGACTTAAAAGAAGTACCAACACCCCAGTGCTTAGCTTCAGACCCAAAACTTCGCTAAAGCTGGCCCTGAGGGTCCATGTACCCAAATAGTATATACTTTTGGCCTTAAGGTGGTCCCTATATACCCAGACCCCGGAAAGGATCTGAAAAGCAGATCCCTTGATTTGGGACCCTTACTACTACAGGGTTCTGTATAGGAACACTCTTAAGGGATCTATTTTCTAGGTCCTTTTTCGGGGGTCTGGGTAGATACTTTGGTGCCAAAGTGTATACTATTTGGGCACATGGGCCGTTAGGGTGTAGGAGGTATCTTTGCCTTGGTTGGGCGACTATGTGCCGCGGATTCTATAGAGCATCGTTTGCCCTAAACCCTGAGCCCTACACTCTACCCGCTATTAACCCCAAGCCCTATACAACCTAAATCCTAAACCCCGCGCCGTACACCCTACACCCCACAGAGCCCAAAACCTACAAAGCCCAAACCCCAAAATTCAAGAACAACCGAACAACACAGACGCCCCAACTTCCCTATATGGTACACTAAATACCCACTATTAGGGACCATAAGGGCGGGTCCTGTTAGGGTCCCCTAAACCCGAAACCCTAAACCCTAACCCTAAACCCAAACCCTTAAACCCTATACCCTAAACCCTAAACCCGAAATCCCTAAACCCTAACCCCTAACCCTAACCCTAAACCCAAACCCCTAAACCCTATACTATACCCTAAACCCTGAACCCCTAAACCCGAAACTCCGGGATCTTCTTTTGAGTTCCCGGCTCCCCGGCTCTGCTCAGGCAGAAGCCTGCATGGAGACGTTTGAAGGTGAGCGGGCCTCAGATGAGTTCGCACTTTAGGATTTGTTGGGGGGTTGAAGGTTTTAGGGTTTCCGGCCAGGATATGACTGCTGGAGGCTTATCGCTTTCGCTTGTCGGGTTGAGATTTGAGGATTTATGAATATTATGGTTTGTAGTTTGGGTACTGCCCCCACTCTTTAACAATTATATCATAGTTGTCATATAGTTATATCAAGCCCTTAATATGACCCCTAGCAAAGACTGTTTCGGGGTGGGGGAAGAACCCAAGTTTAGGATTTGGGGGTTTAGGATTTACGGCCGGGGGTGTCGTTGAAGGTTACTGGTCGGTGCTTGGGATTTAGGGCTTAGAGCTTTGGGTTTAGAGGTTGTGGGTTTAGGGCTGAGAGTTTGCGGCTTGGGGTTTATCTTGTAGTACATTCTTGGGCTTCCGCCGGTTCCTATTCAGTACGTTCGCTCGGGTGTATACCATGGGGCACGTGGACCCTGAGGGCAGTCCCTCATACGAGTCAAGGATGCAATTTGGGGTTTGGACAAAGCTTGAACAAAAAACAAGGAACTCTCGAACCTCGAACTCGATACCACCTGAATCGACCAACATATCGTCGTTTTAGCTGCGATAAAAAGCATGACTGTACCAGTAACATCCATGACTACAGCCATGGTGAGCACAATATCCATCGAGTCTATCCGCTCACGGCGTTGTTTCTGTTCTTTCTTCTGCGATGCTATGAATCTATACCTTGACCTACCAAAACCTACTTTTTTGTAGGTTCTTATTATAAACCCTAATATGGAATCTATAGGGACCCTATAAAACAGTAGGTTTTGGTAGGTGAGGGTCGGTTACATTCCGCACACTGAGGCCAAAGCTGCACCATCCTCTGCGGACGCCTCTCGACTGAGGAGTTTAGGATGTAGGCTTATGAGGGAGGCATAATGACTGCAATTGGGACGTATCAGAAGTATACCCTTACTTATGACCTTACTATGCTGAGTTAGCCTTCAAGGATGTAGGATTTAGGGATGGCTTTGCCTTTCATGTCTTGTTTGAAGTTTGAGGAGTCGTCCAGCTTCCCCGCGAGTTGAGCTAGTTCGGAGTTCGGGGTAGAATTATCATATTCATTCTGACCTTTGAATTATCATATTCATTCTGACCTTCATACATCCGGTCGGAGCCGAATTGTCATAGGTGCTCTGGGTTACAGTTGATAATGCTGGGGCCGGAAGAACAACTAGTGGTCATGGAGTTTGGAGTTTCCCCATAATCCCTAAATGCGAACACACTCTAGTGTACCCCAAACCTCTATCCGGACAACGACAGGGCACCTATGATAACCTTATCTCGCTCTTCGCGGTTTGTTGCTTGGACGTAAGCTATCCGAGAATGTCATCTTGCAACCAAACTCATGACAAGACCAAAGGAAAGCCCGAAACGCCTATATAACCCTAAAGCACTTGAGTTGGAACCTAAACCCTAAAACTAGACAAGACCCTAAACCCTAAACCCTAAACCCTAAACCCTAAACCCTAAAACTAGACAAGACCCTAAACCCTAAACCCTAAACCCTAAACCCTAAAACTAGACAAGACTGATTCGTCGACGGGGAGCCTGGATCTTCGAACGCCCAGTCACAGTCTGGCACTCTTCCTCAGCCGGCCGCGGGTTCCTTTTATTTTTTGAACATGAAACCGAAACCCTAAACCCTAAACCCTAAACCCTAAACCCCAAACCCTAAACCCTAAACCCTAAACCCTAAACCCTAAACCGAAAGCCAACAAACCAAAAGTGAACGAAAGACCTGGCTCCGCAAAATAATGCACTTGAAATCTCAACCCCTACGCCCTGGTGCCAGACACCGTCAAATAGCCTAAGAACTGGAAACAAACCCTTTTAAAGCACTTTAGGGCCCCTGAAGCCTCTTGAATCCTTAAACACCCTCCTAGCTAACACCCTGAAACCCGAGCATGGCCATTCTTTCAGAGCCGTTTCGACTTTCCCCAGGTCGACGCCTCGGATTCTCAGTGGCTACGCCAGGAGTGACAACGCCCGAAGGCCCTGGATTTTACGGGGTTTCGTAGGGCTCCTGTGGGGGTGTAATTCATGTAGGGGCCTTACTAGTTAGAATTGGGTGTTGCTGTATATCATACTTTCAAGGCCCCGACATGTAGATAACTAGTTAGAATTCGGTTTTGCTGTATATCATACTTTCAAGGCCCCTAGATGTAGTTTAGGGGTTTAGGGGTTTAGGGGCTTAGGGTTTAGAGTTTACGGGTTTAGGGGTTTAGGGTTTTGATACTCCCGGGCCTAGTCTCCGGCCTGGCTTTATTGTTACCAGCCAGAAGAAGGCCCGGTAGTCCCGATGACCACGAAACTCTCAGTCCTCCATCTTGCTTTCGCTTGTGATTTATTGTGGGCCCGCTGTCAAAGAATCTCATGTTCGTGATCTTGTTGGGTATATACTGGTTGTGCTAAGCAAGCCTGAAACCCTAATCCTGTAAGGGAACCCTGTTGCAACCCTTAATGCTTTCAAGCCCTGGCCCTAAACTTGAAACCTGCATAGCCATAAAACCCGCAACCCCCAAGGCTCCAGGCCCTCAAAGCCCTAAGACGCCTGAATCCGAAAGCCAAAGAAAAACAGAAAACCTCCAAAAATTGGGTCCCCAAGCCCGAAGCCCCAAACCCAAGCCTTACTAGGGTTTTGGGTTTAGGGTTAAGGCCAGGGTTAAAGCCAAACCCTACAACCTGACTAAGCCCTATGAAGTCATGCAAGTCTAAAGCTCCAGACTCTCATGAGCATGGCTTGTGGAGGCGCGCCGTCCAGCTCAGGGGCACTTTCGAGGCCGGGAACAGTTTGAGTTAGGGTTTAGGGTTTAGGGTTTTGAGTTTTGGCTTTGCGGTGGTTTTGTAAGTGATGTGCAGAGTCTCAATTATAGGGCTAGCTCCTCTGTTTTGCTTACCTCACTGACTTCCTCGTTATCGAATCTTAATTGCATAAAGTACCTCGAGCAAACAGTTAAGAGGTTTCAAGAAAAGTGAACCCTAAACCAGAAACGACGGCCAAACTGTTAAGTTCAAAGCAGACCACCCGGAGGGCACATCGCTCGTGCCGATTTCAAGCCTGTGCCCTAGCTTCCGAAATCTTCTGGCATGTCTAGGGCCTCTAGGAGGGGTTATGGGGTCGAGGAATTTGTTTGTTTTATTTCATTTTTTAAAATGGGGCGGGATTGATTGCCGAGGCGGGGGTGGGGGGGGCGGGGTGATAGAATGGCTTTCCCGGCCATGACTGCCGTCCTTTTGGCTACATGCTAGGTCCTATTGCATATTTGCATATACTTATATATATATATATATAAACACTTTATATATATATATATATGTGTTACATCTTGGACAACTCCTGGCGCTGTTTAAAAGAGGTGTTCTGTGCCGATTGCTCCACCCAATCTGGATCATCGCCGAAAGCCCCCGGAAGGCACAGACGAGATAACCAGAGAGGCATCCCCTGCTAACCCTAAACCCTAAACCCTAAACCCTAAACCCTAAACTCTACACCCTAAACCCTAAACTCTAAACTTTAACCCTAAACCCTATAACTCTAAACCCTAAACCCTAAACCCTAAACCCTACGTTCCTGTGTGCTACCGACGTCTGAGGTCGCCGGTCAAGCGCAACAGAGGACTCTGGGATATAGGCCCTAGCCCCCCAGGTGCCTACTATATAGGGCCCTAGGGTTTAGGGTTTAGGGCCTTGGGGCTCTACTACCCTATATAGTAGGTACCTGGGGGGGGGTTAGGGAGGGTTTGGGGTTTATAGGCTTAAGGTTTAAAGGGTCCAGGTGCACGCTCAAGGCTGGGTAAGGGGACCTCGGAACGCCTGGGCTGTCTGACCGAGCTATGCGTCTCTGTGTCCGTTTCCCCATCTTATATGCAGACCTTCAGGTTCGTGTAGGGGCCTTGACAATTAGAATAGGGTTTGGGGGTATTTTATAATTATTGTAATTAAGGATCTCCCAAAACCCTAGTCTAATCATTAAGGCTCCTATAGTATGCAGCTTGTACTTCTGCGAAGCTCGCCATGCTTGTGCCTTGCGAAGCCGTAGATGCCAACCGCGTTCGGCTGGAGGGTATTCCGAAGCTTCAATCCCAGGCCCTGCCCTGAACCCTCAATCTAAACCTTAGGGTTTAGGGTTTAGGGTTTAGGGTTTAGGGACTAGCCTCAAACCTTTCAAACCCCTATAGAACCTAAAAGCCCGGCCCTAAACTCTAAAGCTTACAAGCCCCAAGTCTCTAAACGCTGGAGCCTGAAAGCCCTAAACGCCAAAGCCTGGAAGCCCACCAAGCCCTAAAAGCTGCCATTCACCAGCGCAGGCATACATTCCTAGTAGCAGAGTAGGTATACAGCCTCTAACCTTTTCGGGGTACTTCAATGTACTACTATAATCCCATTGGTTAACCTTCTTCCCAATGCTTCCAAGGACCTTATTTTTAGGGCCCTAGACCCCTTAAGGACGCAAGAATAAGGTAGCTGGAAGCAGAGGGTTATATAGTTCCCCATGATACTGGACCCCTAAACCCTAAACCGTAGACCCTAAACCCTAAACCCTAAACCCATGTCCATTGCACAGACTGATACTGGACGAGTAGACCTTTGCATGTCGGCTCAAGACCTGGCACTTGGAAGCTTCTGAAACCTACCAGGGTTTTACGGGTTTAGGGGTTTTAGGGTTTAGGGTTTAGCGTTTAGGAATTGAGGTTTAGGTTTAAGGCTTATACAAGGATCGATAGATATAAAGGACCTGCAAACCCGGTACCAAGTTTTAGTGACTTATGCAACACCACTTGGGCCTAGGCGAGAATCTTCTGGCTCTTTATACGAGCAGTCTGACATGTCAGGTGTGGAAGCTTTGGTTGAAGTCTTTTCATATTTTTGTCATATCCATATAACTCAGATAACATTAGCTTACTTGCTTGCAGATTACTCTATACAGTTGTATATGGGGTTTGATAGTCCTCGGCAGTTTCTGTGTGAGATTGCATGCAGCATCTGCCAGCTCTTTGCAGCCAGCCACCTACAGCGCCTTGGTAGTAAGATGTGTCCTGGGATTGGGCGTGCTGCAACGAGGTTGGCATCAGAAGTTTCTGTTAAGTGCCAAATGACGTGAGAGAAAACGTAACATAGGGGCCTTAATAAGTAGAGTCTGTGGGTGTATTATAGTATAATTATGCAATAAGGAACCCCCAAAACCCTATTCTCATCATTAATGCCCTTACGCTAGTCTTCGGGCATTGCTGCTCTACCCAACAGGCACCCTCCAATGCCTTGAGTCTGTTGAAGCCCCACACTCCTGGCGCAGCAGAACGCTTGATATGAGTGTCCATGTCCCTACATAAATACATATAACTCATATGTAAATATCCTTTTCACATGTATGTATTCATATACGTATAGATATAGATATAAGAGCCGTTCGATACCCAAGTATAACCCATCTAGTTTTAGGGTAGTGGACACTTCGGGTTCTCTTGAGGTTCGCGTCGGGGAAACCCTGAATCCGAAGCCCTAAAAATCCCTAAATCCTACCTAACGGGACCCTACAGAAAAGTAGGTTATGGTAGTTCAAGGTAAAACCTGTGAATTCAATCCACCGAACACTAAACCCCTGGACCGAAAAAGCGGCGTCTGAAAGCCAGTGCAATGGGACAAGAGTTCCCAACAAGTGGCGTCGATACATCCATAGTGGGCATTTGGAGGGAAACCGGCTTAGCGCCTCCGGTTTGTAATTTTGGACGCGACTCTGGTGTCTCGCACATGTTGAAGAACGACATGGCTTTCAGCCTTGGGGGAAGTGCTGCAACAGTTTGGGGCGTAGCGTAGGGGCCTAAATGATTAATTTTGGGGCTCCTTATTATAATTATTAATCGTATAATATACCCCCAAATCCCTAATCTACTTAGTAAGGCCCCTACATTAGACCCTGATAGTACCCCTTATAGGAACCCCTTAAAGGAACCCTTAAAGGAACCCTATTCTACCGTGGCGTATTGAGGGCGCCTGAGTCCGCAAAGCCATACTAGCGGCCACACCCCCCGGATCTGAAGCCCCAACAACTTATGAGGCGACTGGTAATGTGTGGGTTTAGGGTTTAGGGTACTGGTAATGTATGGGTTTAGGGTTTAGGGTACTGGTAATGTAGGGGTTAAGGGTTTAGAGTTTAGGGTTTAGGGGCCTAAATAATTACCAATACTGTTTTTTTGGGGGGTTCCTTATTGTCATCATTGTATAATCTACCCCAAAGCCTTCTTCTAATTATTAAGGCCCCTGCATTCGTGCAGTTTATAACTTGAAAGTATTGTTCCTTTTCCCTAAACCCTAAACCCTCAACCCTAAACCCTGGGTTCTCGTGCCCCTACCCTAAGGCTCTGAGGACTCCTATTTTAAGGCTTTTGGGCCCAAAGACCATACTATCTAAAGTCTTTTGGGCGCTATTTTAAGCCTTTCAAGAGACTAAAAGAGGGACCCTTAAAGGGGTTATATAGGGGTTTTATGAGACTATATAAGGGGTATTTCAGGGTTATATAGGGTATTAGGATTAGGGGTCCCTTCTAGGGGTCCCCCTACTGCCCCTAAACCCCAAACCCTAAACCCTAAAACCCTAAACCCTAAACCCTAAACCCTAAACCCTAAACCCTAAACCCTAAAACCCTAAACCCAACGAATTGCTGAGGATCTCCCCTCCTTCCCTGGATCGTGCAGGCCAGCCTGAGACCGAAGTGCGTGCGGTGCTTTCAAAGGGGTCCTGCCGGCCTAGAGGGGTTTAGGGTTTAGGGTTTAGGGTTTAGGGTGATACTGCTGGTGATACAAATCCTGCATTACCATAAGGACCCTACATAAACTATGGGAATTCTGGTATATTCCACATTATGAGTAATGCAGGATTTAGATCATCAGCCATATGGTTATAGGGTTAAGGGTGTAGGGTTTGGGGGTTTATAGAGTCTAGGGTCTATAGGTGCTGGGGGCTGAACCTCTATCTTCTGTACAAAGTTCAAAAAGGTGGCCTGGTAGCTGTACAAGATTATCTATAGGCCCCATAGTAGTTCCTTTTTGGGGTTACCTTATAGGATTCTATATATGAACCCCCAAAAAGGAACTACTTTAGGGCCTATGGGTAGGGCATCGGGAGCCTTCGGTCAAATGTGCCGGTGATGAGTTCTCAGAGGGCTTGTAGACCTGTACCCATAGGCCCTAAAGTAGTTCCTTTTGGGGGTTCATATTTAGAATCCTATTAGGGGAACCCAAAAAGGAACTACCATGGGGCCTATGGGTAGCCCTCAAAGTTGTAACAATTTGAGTGATGTTCGATTTCGTGGTCAGACCTTCGGCAATCTCAGCGAAGCCTGACACCTGGAACTTTCAACCTTGCCCTGAGACGTGACAGACTAAACACAACAACAACAGTTCAACAGTAGGAGCACAACTGCAACAACAAGCAACTGACAAAGCAACAAACGACAGCCACACACAACACCCCACACACAAACAAGGCAAACATCATAGACCTTAAACCATCTTCAACCCTATAAAGCCTAAGTGAACAACAGCTCACTATAAACTAAACCCCTAAACCCTAAACCCTAAACCCTAAACCCTATGGGCTACAGTCCTCTGGACGTCTAGGCCGGCTCTACGCAGACCTGCTAGGAGGTGCCATGGCTTGGGCTCTCGGGGAGTCAGGTTTCCACTTCAGGGATTTGGGGTTAGGGTTTTAGGGCCAGCAGGGTTTAGGTCTACTTTAACAAAACCTCCCCCCTCCCCAAAAAACAGGTCAGGGACAAGGGATTCTAACCCAACCATAAACCCTAAAGTAGGGCCTCTATTTAAGGATCAGGTTTCTGCGATGCGCAGTTTTGGGTTTTAGGGTTTTAAGGGTTTGGGTGTTTCGGGCCTAGGGTTATAAGGTCTTCATAATGTAGGGGGTCTTTAGGCTATTCGGGCCCAGGGTTTGGGGTTTGAGGTTTAAAGTGTTTGAGTGTCGTAAGGGGTGTAAAGGTTCGTGTGTTGAAGGGTTTTGGCTGTCGGCTTTTCGGGCTTTAAGGGTGTGGGGTTTGCTGTTTGGGGTTTGGGGAGTTAAGGGTCTATGGTGTTAGGTCTGTCCAACAGTCTCCCTCCCGTTTGATTGCTGACGTGAAACATGCATCAATATCGGCGCACCTGTACAACAGTGTCAAACACATGTTCAGTCTTAGTTCACGGCTTGATCGCCAATCGACCGTTGGAAAGTTTCAAGCGCTGCTCCATCAAAATACTGTTTTGTTTATGCAATCTCGTGTGAGAAACACACTCCATGCTGCGCTTGCTAAAAGGATGTCCAAAACCGTTGATTCAACATTACAAAAACCCTTAAACGCCAACCGAGTATGTCAAGCCTCATTGCAATTGGTCCCGCAAGAAGCAACCACAAGGCTTTTCCGTGAAGCATGTGCCCATGCGCAAATGCATGTGAAGTTTCCATCCCGCAATCATGAAATCCAGGCGTAACACACTGTCCAAGTAAGTCTGACATAACTCATTCGGACTATTTATTCAAGTGCCTATATTGCAGGCAGTTTGTTGCTGCGTCCTTAAGCCCAAGAGTGAAAACTTCTCCGCTGCTGAAGACGACCGGTAGTCGGGAAATGGGGCTTCAGATGTTCAGGACCAGAATAGTTTGTTTGATAGAATGTTGGAAACCACCACTGTCACGCAAAATCGGATTCCTTCGTTCCCTGAGATGGTCTCAGCTGAAAGCTTACCCTCAGGGTCCATGTACCCAAATAGTATATACTTTGGCCTAAAAGTAGTCCCTATATGGGTACTTTGGGGCCAAAGTATATACTATTTGGGTACATGGACCCTTAGGGTTATTGAATATTCTGACCAAGCCTAGTGCCAGGTTCCCCAGACCTTCTCAAGATAGGGGCGTACGACCGCTAAGCCGGTCAGCTCTCCCATATTGACTCTATAGACTTTCCTTTTGGGTTTAGGGTTTAGGGTTTAGATTCTCTATAGACTTTCCTTTTGGGTTTAGGGTTTAGGGTTTAGGACTCTATAGACTTTCCTTTTGGGTTTAGGGTTTAGGGTTTAGGACTCTATAGACTTTCCTTTTGAGTTTAGGATTTAGGGTTTAGGTTCTCTATAGACTTTCCTCTTGGGTTTAGGGTTTAGGGTTTAGGACTCTATAGACTTTCCTTTTGGGTTTAGGGTTTAGGTTCTCTACAGACTTTCCTTTTGGGTTTAGGGTTTAGGGTTTAGGACTCTATAGACTCTCCTTTTGGGTTTAGGGTTTAGGGTTTAGGTTCTCTATAGACTTTCCTTTTGGGTTTTGGGTTTAGGGTTTAGGTTCAAACAGCTATTGTGTAAGGTTCACTGGTGGAAGAAAACAGTGCCCAACCAGCCAGGAGAAACGCTGCCTTGGCCACGGAAGTGGCCCTTGTACTTTCTGCAGCCGCAAGCGGCTGGGGTGGTTTGGCTGATATTTCTTGAGGGCTCCCTTCCATGCCACCGGGAAATGTAGTGTTACCAGATACCAGTACCGAGGAACCGAAAAGGATAGCGAAGGCGCATCCCTTTTGTTAGAGTAGCCGAGAGTACCTCCCAACAGCATCCTATTGATCGTAATTCAATCAGAATTTCCTAAACCCCCTAAACCCTAAACCCCTAAACCCTAAACCCCTAAACCCCTAAACCCTAAACCCCTAAACCCTAAACCCCTAAACCCTAAACCCTTGCGGGGTTTAAGCTTTAGGGTTTGCGGCCTCGGGATTTCTTGCACCGGCTGAAATATATGGGGGTTTCCGAGAAAAGGGGACGCTAAATAATTAGTAGGATCCCTAGTATAAGGACCCCAAAATAAGGTACCCTAATTTTCTGAAACTCCCAAAGGACCCTCTTCATGGTTAGTTTGGCTCGGCTTATTCGGCCTTTCCAGTGTCTGCACGGCCCCGTTTCATGTGGAGTTTATTCGGCCGGAAGATATGTTTCATTGTCTTGCTATAGTCCGTCGTTCATGTTCATTCAAGGTATAATCACCTTGGGGCATGAAGCCCGGGATGTTCAGATGTTTTGTTTTTGTTTGTTTAGGGTGTCGGCTGGGGCTTCGGAGGTTTAGTATGCACAAATGAAGTTAATTCCAAGTGCAGATACGACAACAAGCATTTACTATTTATCGGCTCACTTACAATACAGTGTCCCAGATTGCAGACAGAACTTTGTCCATGATATCCAGCGTGGTTAAGTTTTGTGGGGGTTGTGGTGGGGGGTTTACAGCCGGGGGCATCATTGGCTCCAAGAATGCTGCTGGACCCAGGAAGCGTTGAAGCCACCCAAACCTGTTAGCTCGTGATGGCTTCCACAGTCCCGAGTTTGCCGCTTCAGAGTCCGTTCATACATAGTCTTACACCTAGCAACCCATAAATTTTAAACCCTGAACATTACAGAATGTAACGGTATATGCATGCAGCGCCGAAGCCTAAGCCTTGAATACCGAAGGCGTGCACCGAAGACACTGCCAGTCAACCCGGCGGTCGGGACGCTTGCTGCGAAGGCTTGTTGACCCGGTTTAGGGTTGCGGGTTGGCCAGTTTGCCTACCCATAGGCCCCAGAGTAGTTCCTTTTTGGGATTACCTTATAGGATTCTAAATATGAACCCCAAAAAGGAACTACTGTGCGCCCTATGGGTAGATTGTGTTCGTTCAAGATTATAAGCTGCGAATAGAACGGATGAAGTATGTGATGACTCGAATTCTGTTCCTTACCCCTGGTAGTAGTACCCTTTTCGTTGTCTGGTTTTGCAGTTTCCAAAGGTCTATATAATCATATATATATATATATACATATATATATATATATATATATGTGTAGGCTTTGATGCTGTATATAAGGGTCGGACAACCAGCAATACTATGCGAAAGCATCCCGTTATTATAGCGGTCCCATGCCGCATCTCCCGCGCCGCCCCTACATGAAGCCGGCTTAACCCTTCGGATTACCCTAAGCCCCGAAGGCTACAGGCCCAAACCACAACCAACTCTCCTAAATGATCTGATTTCGGCTTGGGGTTAGGGTGTAGGTCTTGTGGGTTTTGGTTTCATGGTTTAGGGTAGAGCGGAAGGCTACAAGACACAGAGGCCGAATTTATAATATTACAGGGGCCTTAATAACCAGAATCGGGTTTTGGGGCCCTTTATAGTACAGTGATAATAAGGACCCCCCCCCCTCCAACAAAAAAAAGAGTATAGGTAATTATTTAGGCCCCTATTTTACAAAAGCTCTGCAGGCCCTGAGCAAAGTTATGACTGCCAGATCCGAAGCTGCACCGCAAGACCCAACCCCCAAACGGTTTAGGGGTTTAGGGTTTGGGGTTTGGGTTTTAGGGTTTAGGGTCTAGGGTTTACGGTTTGGGTTTAGGGTGTAGGGTCTAGGGGTTTAGGGTTTAGGGTGTTGGTTTAGGGTTTGGGTGGGCTTAGGGTTTTAACTCTAGTCTAGAATCCCTCACAAGCCACAAGCCTACACCACAAAACCCCAAAACGCCACACAGTGTACCCCAGACAAGCCAAGGTACTGAGAACAAAGTGGCACAGTTACCTTTTTCAAGGTACCTCGTTTATTCTAGGTCGAGGACATGTTCAGGTGGGTAGTTACCCTTATAGGAGCCTTACAGAAGGTCCATATACTATGGAAGCCTTATGGCAGCCCTTTGTACCCTAAACTCCCCACCTGTAGTTTCCTTTAACTAGGTCGACCTTCATCCCCGGGCCCTCAAACCTAAACCCCAAACGGACCTTTAGGGTTGAGGGTTTAGGAAGTTTAGGAAATTAGGGTTTAGGGTTTAGGAAGTTTAGGGTTTAAGGTTTAGGGTTTAGGGTTTGGGGTTGACTTCTTCTCTTGCAGGGGCATGGAGATGAAAAACGATGATCGCCACCATCCCTCGGCGAAGCGAAATCGGGGACCAATTCTGGAGGCCTTGTTTAAGGGTTTAGGGTTTCCGAAACCCTAAACCCTTTTAGGGTTCTTGTTTAGGGCTTCAGGCGTATAGGTTCTGGTTCTATGACTTGGTTTACAGAGGTTCGGGGCTTCTGGATTTGCTTAAGTTGTTTAGCGCAAGGCACCCGAGCGGTAAATATAGAAGCCTGGTCGTAATTACCAACATTATTCCTGAGGGTTCCTTTTCTTATATTATAACTATGAAGGGGCCCAAAACCCTATTCCCCCCCTGTATTATCTACTTGAGGCGCTTCTGTGAAGATCCAGGACTTTGACCCGGGGACACCTGGCTTCGAAGAGGAACGTAGTTGTAAACACAAAGCTGACCCACAGAAACTCGCTAGCCCCACACCCCGCAAGACAGCCCCAGGGTTTAGCGTTTAGGGTGTAGGGTCTTCAAACCCAACCTAGAGGCCATAGTAAAAAAACCACCGGACACCCCCCAAAAAGCCCGAAACCCTAAACCCTAAACCCTAAACCCTAAACCCTAAACCCTAAAGGCCCTAAACCCCACACCAAACGGCCCAGCAAGCTCAGAGCCTCCCCGTTGGCAAGATCTCCAAAGGTGCTCCGCAAAGAGCTCCCTGAGGATGGGTCAGGCAGGGGCACACGGGCCCATTTTCAAGCTTCTGATTGTCACATTAGTGTGTAGGTGTTTCTCTTCAACATGTACTGAGTACATACCAAAAGAGAAAGAGAGAGGTTTCGAGGGTTTGGAAGTCAGGATTCAAGGGTTCAGGGTTTGGAGTATCGGCCTGGGTTAGCTGGGATGAAAGGGTTCTGGGCTTCAGGGCTTCCGGGCTCCAGGTTATGCTCCAAGATGATGTTCGAAGCTTTAAGATCAGTAGGGCGACGTGTGTCTGCAGGGTTTCTGAATGGAGGGTGAGGGATTTTCCAGGATCCTGATTTTGAGTTTAATGGGGTTCAAAGTACCGGGTGCCTTGTTGGGGTTTGGGTCCGGAACTTCGTTTCCGGGTCCATGGTATCCGGTCAGGGCTTTCTCCTGCATGCCCTAGACTCTAGACCCTGTCATCCCAACCCCGACAGCCTAAAGCACTAAAGCCTAAACCCCTTCCAGCTGACCCCAGGCGCTACGCCGTAAACTCTAAAGTCCTTGCCCACGTTAGTATGGCTCCTTGTTAGGATTTGATTTAGTTCTCTAGTCCTTGGAACAATCTCCCTTCTAAGCCCTAAGCCCCAAATCCAAACCCTTGGACCTTAAAGCCCTTCAGTCGTTGCCCATTGCCGCTGCACAGGAATATGCCATCCGAAACAGTATAGAGGCTGCTTACGCCGAAACCCTAAACCCTATACCCTAAGCAGAACCCTAAGGGTCCAAGTACCTAATAATCATATACTCTCCCAAATAGTAACCTACATAACTAGTATCCGAAGCCTAAGTACCTGGTTATTTGGACCCTTGGGGGAAGGAATGGTGCTGGAGATCGGTTCTGGCAGTGGTTGTCACGCTGAGTTCTTCGCCACGGCGCTGCCGCTGCTTGACGGCAACTCCTCGGAGTTTTTGGGTTTAGGGTTTAGGGTTTAAGGGTTTCCAGGCCATTGCATACCCGAGTAATTGGTAATGTTAAAAGTTTCAGAGTAATGACGTTGCTAATACTGATGTATGGTAAGAATAGTTGTAGCACTAGGGTTTAAGGTTCAAGTCACTTTGGCTTTATTCTGTCATTTGTTTGGGGATTTCGAGCTTCAAGCTCCGGTGCCGGATACTCTACAAGCCTTAATAAGCACCCAAAGTTCATTAATTAGGTTCCTATACTACCCTGAACCTGAACCCCAACCCTAAACCCTAGACGCTGAAGGCAGGGTGTGAGCTGCTGTTCTTGGAGTTCGGGGCAAGTTTCGCAGTCGAGTTTTGGGGTTCATGGTTCAGGTCTTTGGCGGGAGGACATGGGGTTCACAAAACCCTAAACCCTAAACCCAAAACGTATACCCTAAACCCTAAACCCTAATAGCTCAGTGTTGGCAGGACGGCTTCAAAAGCTTGCGATTGATAGCAGCATGGGTGAAGTATCATACATAGTGTGAGGGTAGATGAGAACCCTACACCCTAAACCCTTTGTTCAAAATGGGTCTATACAAGGTTTTTGCTTCAGGGATTTTTGTAGGTAATAGAACACCCAAAGATTGTGTGTGTGTGTGTCTATATCTACATGCCGATAGAAAGAACGATAGATACATAGGGTTTCGGTTTCATAGTGGGGTCCAGGGACTCGTTCCAGGCTAGATCTTTCCTCAGAGCTCAGAAACCGCTTCGCGAATAATTTTGTGGTAAAGCTCATATTGGCACCCCTAAACCTTAAACTTGAAATCCTAAATCCGAAGCCCCAAACTCTAAACCCCCAAACCCTAAACCCTAAAAAGAGACCCTAACCGTGGCCCTAGCGTTCCCAGGAAGTTGCAGTGGCAGCCCACGGAGTTTGTCCCGCCCACGGGGATGGCCGCACTCAAGGACTGCTCCCTGTGTCTTCGTAGGGTTCAGGGTTCTACCGTCGATGTAATTATCACCTGCTAGTGGCTGCTAGTGCCCCTCTTTGCACACATGGGTTGTTAGTGTGCACATTGTGATGTTGCAAGCGAGAGCGGTGGTGGAGGCGGCAGCATGGCGTGGTGGACGTAGTTGTGCATGTGTCACATACATACAGATGCTCATGTGGAGGGAGAGAGAGTGAGAGAGAGAGAGAGTGTCGTGTGTGTTTGTGAAAGACATAGTGTTGTGTACACACATATAGATACATAAATGTTATGCACATATATGTGAATACATATACAAGCAGATTTGCGTGTACTTACGTACACTATGTAGGCATGACCATAATATGCACAGTGCGTTTCGTTCGTTGGTTCGTTCGGTCGGCAGTCGTACTTGTGTATGTCCTTGCATACATATGCATGAACGTTTTTCTGTCTGTCTGCCTGCCTGTCTGTTTGTCTGTCTGCCTGTCTGTCTGTCTGCAGGTAGGTTTGTATGTAGGTGCACACACATGTATCTGTGCTTGCTTGTTTCTAATGTATCGGTCTGGCCTAAGCCTAAGCGTGAGGACATTAGCGGTCATAAAACCGTATGCATCTGCACGTATTATGCCATGCACGCAAACACGTATGCCTACGCCTACGCATCACCCGCCCCCGCCCGCTCGCCTCTCTCTCTCTCTCGCTCTCTCTCTCTCTCTCTTTCTCTCTCTCTCTCTCTCTCTCTCTCTCTCTCTCCCTCTCTCTTTCTTTCTCTCTTTCTCTGTCCAGCTTTCCTGCTGTCCGTCTTGTTTTCTATCTTGTTGTTAGTTCTTTAGTTCTGTATTTCGTTGTGTATTCATTTGTTTACCTCTGCCGTCCTTTCTTTACTTATTTCGTTATTTCTGAATGTTTTTTGTATCATCCATTCGCTAATTATTTCTTGTTGCCTGCCTTTGTCTCTCTCCCGATAGGCAGAGTTAAGTCTATACACAGATAGGCGGACAGATAGATGGGTAGGTACGTAGGTAGACAGATAGGCCAGAACAGCACCATGTTTTGTGAAGACGTAAAATGGACACACATGTACACACATGCACATGCACGCACACACGCACGCACACGCACACACACACACACACACTCACACTCACACTCACACTCGCGCTCACAATCGCACTCGCACTCACACACACACTCACACTCACACTCACAGTCACACTCACACTCACACTCACACACACACACACTCACACTCACACTCACACTCACACACTCACACACCATACACACACATGCGCAGGACCGCATGGACAGATTTCAACTCGACTCTGTCCTCTCGGTGTAGCTTTCTGCTTAACGGGGTAGCAGCTGGTAGCAGCGCGAAACCCACAGGGACAGCGACACGCGTGTCAGTAACTACTTCCCGGCAAGGACATCGACATCGTTGGTGCAAAGGTCCCTTGCTGGGGTGTCAGTTTTAGAGCCCGGCTGCTTTCACTGAGTCTAAGAGTCGGGGGCGAGCTTTAGGAGGTCATTCAGGATTATAATACGGGGCACTCAAAAACATGATTTAGTGCATGTGCATATCATACTGTACTTATGCACCTATCCACAAATATATATATATATATATATACAGAGGTAACATCTATAATTGTAGAGAGACTGTTGCAGGGCATTCTCGATCTGTCCAGATTTACCATCGAAGGCGCCTCTAGGCCAACTTCGCGGAGTAGAACTCCTTTCCTGGTGTTGTCGGACCCCGTTGGCTAATGTAGAGGCCTAAATAATTACCAATACTATTGTGGGGGGTTCCTTATTATAAGATACCCCAAAGCCCTACGTATTCTAATTATTAAGGCCCCTATATTAGGTACTTCTCCCTGAGACCAAGTACATGAAGAAGACCTCTTGTGGCATTACTAAAGCTCAGAAGAAATTTGGCCCGCGGATGTGTCAGGGTTTTGCAGTCGTTGAAGTTCAAAGGCCAAACGTGCCCACTTCTTCACTCAAAACCCTGAGCCCCTAAACCCAGACAATCCTAAATCCCTACCCAACCCAAAGGGTCCAAGTTCTAGTATAGTATATACTTTTGGGGCCCAAACACCTATAAAGTAGCTACCATATTAATACTTGGACCCTTGGGCAAGTAGCCTAAACCCTAAAGTCCAATCCACATGTACCCTTCCACCCCGCAGGCATTGCCCAATGTGCAGCCAGCGCTTGCGCTGGACGCATCCGCTCCTTGGGAGGAGTGGCCAACCGAGGCCCGGTCTCTTTAGCATTTCTGGTTTACGAAATATAGTGGTTTCCAAAATTAGGGTTCCTTATTTTGGGGTCCTTATAATGTCTATTATTTAGGGTACTATATTAGGGTCCCCTATTTTCAGAAACTCCCATAGAGGGGTTCGGTGTTTAGGGTTTAGTGGTTTAGCATTTCAGGTTTAGGGGTTATAGGGCCGATTAGGGGGTCAGGGTTTAGGGTTTGGAGGTGCAGGGTTTCAGGTTTAGGGATTTGGGGTTCAGGGTTTAGGGTTTAGAGGTTTAGGGTTTCAGGTGTAGGGATTAGGGGTTTCGAAATTTAGGCCCCAGGTGCTTAGGGCTCGGAGTGCCTGATGCTGGGCGGTGTGTGGGGCCTCTGGGCTAATATGGAGGTCGGAATAAGTACTACTAGTGCTCCCCTGTTGGTGTCTATTGCCAGGTGTATAGCTATAAACATGACATGGACCTAGCTATTCTAGTGTATATCACGTGCTTCGGGTTTATGTCTATCTGACTCTGAGGTTGCCGGGCTTCCATACAACCATGTGCATAGCCATCTAGACATAGCCGTTATGTATCAGCGTTTAGGGATAAATAAGGTTGACCTGTAGCCGAACAGACCTATACCCCTTTTTTAGGGTTCCTTGTTTATGGTTTCGTATATATATATATATAGATAGATAGATAGAGTTCCTTAAAAGGTAGGTCTTTTCGGTTACAGGTACGGTTTAAGGTTTAGGGATGAGGGTATTTGAGGTTGCCAAGCTCCGGTTCTTCTGGGGTTTAGGGTTTAGGGTTTAGGGGAGTCTTTTGGCACTTGGGGATATGGGGTTTGGGCTTGGGGTCAGTATGGACCCCAACACAAGTTTAGGGTTTAGGCTCACCCACGCACCCCCCTAAACCTAAACACCAGTGACTAAAGCCTCGAACGTTCCTTTGTCCTTTCGATTTGGCAGATCCGGCAGGTTCAGAGCCTGGCCGGTGACTTCACTATGGTGTACATGTCCAACGTGACCCACATTAGCCCATGGAAGGCCGGAGCTGTTGCTGTTCACTCTGACTGCGGTCATCGGAACGGAAAAACAATCCCTGTAGTAATGCGCCGGGGCAGAACACCCTAAACCCTATAAGCCTCAACCCTAAACCCTACAAGCCTGAACCCTACAAGCCCAAACCCTGAAGTCAAAACTTGAAGATTCGCCAGACATGTGCCTTCTAAGACCCTCGGCCGAAACTTAAGTGCCTGCACCCCGAGCGCGGCAAGCCCTCGGATAGATGTCGCACGAGGAAGTAGGGTCTAGCATGGGTCTATAGGGGGTTGAGGGCTTTGAGGGTTTCTGGTTTCTTGTGCTTGAGGGTTTAGGACCCCTTCAAGATCTGGCCAAGAGCCCCCACGATCCGAAGATAGAGCCCATGATCGTACCCACACGGATCGTACCCGTGACGAGCTCTTCTACGTCCATCGGTAATAGGAAGGGTTGCAACGGGTAAGCCACGTGGTAGCCACGGTCATGTTTGTAAAAGTATATATATATATATATATATATATTTTTGTTTTCGTCTGATCGCCATGTTCATAGGAGCGATGGCAACAAGTGCATATCTGCGAAATGACAGCCGTCATGATGTTAGTCATTGCTTCTTTGTGCGACACCCAGGATCGTGTTTATCGCTTTTGCCGGTGTCTTTCGTTATTCCATGTTGTTCCTATCCGGATTGCGCCACTACAGCCCGGACCCTAAACCTGAAGTTACCTACCCGCAACTGCCAACCGAGCCCTGTGCGCCTGCAGGTGACCTGCGGTGTCATCGCAGGGGCTGCGAAAGCCCTGGCCAAGGGTGGGCGTTTGATCATCTACGGTCCCTTCAAGGCCATTGCATCCCTACAACCCCAAACCCCAAAAACCCGAATGGCCCTAAATCCCATGTCCTGAACTCCTAGCCGCCGTTTTCTCGCTGTGGCCCCTGGCATGTAGGTCGATGGCAAATGCACCACGGAGAGCAACGCCGACTTCGACGCGAGCCTGCGATCGCGCGATCCGGAATGGGGTCGCTGAGCCGGAGCTGTAGGACTAAGGCTTCAAGCGTCTTAATAATTACAATGAAATTTAAGGTATAACATACTATAATGATTATAGGGAGCCCCCCAAAACCCTACTGTAATTATTCTAATTATTCAGGCCCGGTTCCATGAGTTCAGGGCTTAGGTTCATGAGTCTGCCCTAAGGGTCCAACTACCTAAGAATCATATACTCTCCCAAATAGTAACCTACATAACACTATCCTAAACCCTAAACCCAAACCCGATTATTGGGTCCTTTGGACCCTTGGGGCTGGGTTAAGTATCTACTTCGTCCTCTAAGGTCTGGGGTTTAGGAGCTCAGGGTTCAGAGCCTGACTAGGGTTTAGGGTTTTGGGTTTAGGGTTTAGGGTTTTGGGTTTAGGGTTTTGGGTTTAAGGGTTTAGGGTTTTGGGTTTAGAGTTTAGGGTTTAGGGCTTAGGGAAGACACGCCCACTGATTCGGTTTGTCAGTATCAGACTCGTTGTTGCTGCCTGACTTCCAGCTGGCAATTTCGGGGTCGAAACTGTAAAGGCCCTTGCAGAACCCTAAACCCTATAAGCCGTATAAACCCTATAAACCCTATAAACCCTATAAACCCTATAAACCCTATACACCCTATACACCCTATACACCCTATACACCCTATAAACCCTATAAACCCTATGAACCCTATAAAACCCTAAAAGCTCACCAGTAGAATACCTTCGTAGGACCCTGCAAGGTCTCGGCTTAAGCAACCCTACGGTTTAGGGTTTAGGGTTTAGGGTTTAGGGTTTAGGGTTTAGGGTTTAGGGGTTTAGGGTTTAGGGTTTAGGGTTTAGGGTTTAGGTTCGATTTAGAGTTTAGGGTTTAGACCCTATACCCCAAAACTTTACCCCAAGGGGTCCTATGCACTTATATAGTAGAATGTAGTAGGGCCTCTATATTAGCAATTACTATTCTGATTTCGGAAAGTATCCCCGATTAGCAGTACATAGCACCCTTCGGGTACCCAAGACACCCTTAAGTTCTGAGGTTATCGAGATCCCTAAACTGGAAAAACCCTAAACCCTAAAGGTTATCGAGACATCGCCGACATCGCCGCGGAGGCTGAGAAGCAAGGCATCAAGTCCCGCTGACCGCATCACAGTTGTAGCGTTTAGGGTCTTTAGGGAGCTTAGGGTGTACGGGCTTAGGGTTTTTTTTTTCGAAGTTGAGGGTTTAGGGGGTTTATGGAGTTTAGGGTTTTTGGGAGGGCAGCATGCATTGGATGACACATGATCTTCGCCCAGGACTACTATGAAATACCGGCGCACGTGGCCATAGTACCTGCCCTCAGGTATTGCGTGCGTCTAGCTGGTATGTGTGTATGCAGGTAGGTAGGCAGGCAGGTCGGTTATAGGTAGGTACGCACATACATACATACATACATACATACATAAATTCGTTCATCCATTCGTTCGTTCACACACACACGCTGCCAGAGTTCAATGGGTAGATGAACAGACAGATAGCAGGTTGAGGGCTGGACAGGAAGACAGATGCACTGACGGTCAGTTAAACTGATACAGAGAGTGCATATTGCCATGTATGTATGTACGTATGTATGTATGTATGTATGCACGTATGTATGTTGTACTCGTCCAGGTATCTGTGTATGTATGTGTGTATGTGTGTATGTATCTTTGCATGTATCTATGTATGTACGTATGTATGTATGTATGTATGTATGTATGTATGCACGCATGTATGCTGTACGCAGGCAGGTATCTGTGTATGTATATCTGTCTGTGTGTCTGTCTGTCTGTCTGTCTGCCTGTCTGCCTGCCTGCCTGTCTGTATGTATGTATGTATGTATGTATGTGTGTAGGTAGGTATTTATGTATGTATGTGTGCATCACAATCTATGTATTGAAATTGAAAGAAACTTAACGTAATGTATTGTATTGTAGTGTAGTGTCGTGTACATGTGTCGCTGTGTATATGTATATGCATTAGTAAGCAAACCAATACTATATATATATATGTGTGTATATATATATATATATATATTTGTTTATTTAAGTGCGCGAGTGTTTGTCCGTTTGTGTGACTTGCGTGTGCGTCTGCTTGTGCATGTGTGACATGCATGCTGTTGCGTCTCGTTGAGTTGGTGCCGTAGCGCGCGGATTGCATAAAGCTCAGCTGTTCGTTCATTGTAGCACAGCTTCGGTGGACAGAGATCTGGGAAGGTAGGTTTCAGCTTGAGACCATGTATGGCCTCATTCACGGTCATGCTCCAAGTTTGAAGCCAGTTTAACGAAGCACGGGCTGTTCCATTGTGACGGCTCGTGATGATCATCTGTTGGAAGGACTAGAGGTTTGCCCACACAACATCCAGTTCCTTATGCAGACCTGGACACCGACCGACAAGAACATGCAAGCATCTTACGCAAGACTCATCGTTACATCTTATCTTGCTCGCAAGCTTCGTGAGCCATGTAAGACTTTAGTGAAAGTCTCGACCATCAATAATCCCCCAAACCCTGTAAGCCCAATCTGTGAAGCTTGAACCCGCCACCATGCCTCCAACCCCAAACGCTCTAGCCGCACAATCCCAGGTTCCTTCAACGGCAAGAAATGCCGGCGAACAACTTTTTCCTAACCTTCGAGAAGCAATGAGGGGTGTAGAGTGTAGGGTTTAGCAGAAGCAAAAAGGAGGCTGAGCATAGTAAGAACTTTGCAGACACATACAGGCAACCAGTATTCACAAGACCAAGCAGAAACCATGATGAGCCTTTGATTTCTAAGTCTCAGCTGTAGAAGAGCAGCCGCGGCATGCAAAACAACTGCACGCAGGGTTCCGGAAGACGTTACGTAACTACTTCGATATTAGAACTTCAGACAGTTATTGTATGTTCGTATTCCTTATGGGCCCTTGAAGATTTTAGATAGCATATCCCAAAACCTTTCTAGACATGAAGGCCCTATGCCCCCCCCCCCCCCCCCCCACACGAGCGGAATCATGCCGGCTTCACACTCTGCATGCACCCAGAAACCATAGTTGCTACTGCGAATATGCAGTGCACCTGGTTCGTTGACTGTTAACTACTGTCAAGTATCATCTCTCGTGCTCATTCTGGGAATACCAAAGAATCTGACGCACTCATTACCCCTTTGGCTGTCTTTTCCTCTTCACAGGAGTGGGGCGCTAGTGGCTATGTGACTCTACAGGTGCTAAGGGCACAGCACAGGCATATTGGCGCTTTGCCTCCTGAAGGAGCCTGGGCAGTTCTACCCAATGATACACCAGCAGTTGCACGATGACTCGAGAGCCTAGAGTAAAATTCTCAACCCTAAACCCTAAACCCTGAACCCTAAAACAAAACAAACTAAACCCTAAACCCTAGCCTCCTTGGCCCCTGACTCCTTCAAGCAGGCCCAAGGCTTCAAGACGTTTGAGCCCTTGGGTACTCGATGTGACCACAAGGAGCCGGCAAAGGCAGAGCATACCGGGGCCTTGGGACGGCTGAGGCCGTGCTGGGAAGAAGAAGAAGAGGTTTAGGGTTTGGGGTTTAGGGTCTGGATTTTGTGTGGTTTTTGGTTTACTTCTTTATGGTCTATAGGGAGGTTGTGTGTATTCACGTCTTGCAAGGGGTTGGCTGAGGTGATCTGAGTGTTCATCGGGATCTTCCGAAGCAGTCGTCCGAGCTCTTTCTAAAGATTTCTAGAGAGCAAACCTTAGTAAATAACACCCCCAAACCAATGCCTCAGACTCGTACGTTTCTGCTTCTATTTCTCGGACTTCACCCTAAACCCGACATCCCTAAACCCTCAACACTATAAGCCGCAAGCCTAAACCCTAAACTCCCAAACCCCAAACCGCAATCCCTGCAGCTCCGGAGGCACCTCTTCGAAGCCTCGGCAGAGGACCCAAGGGACCCGAGGCGGAGTGGAGCTTCGGTGTGTTGGTGGGGCTTTAGGTTTTTGGTTTCTTGTGTGCAGGGTTTAGAGTTTAGGGTTTAGGGGTTCGGGGTTTAGGGTTCGGGGTTTAGGGCTTACAGTTTAGGCTTCGTTTTGTTTAGGGTTTACGCCGGTGTAAGTCTCCTTTGGCGGACGCGTTCCTGCAGGGTTCATGCACCCAAGAAATACTCACATGGACCCTTAATCATACGCCCTATGGCACCCTTATAGAATCCTTGAGGTAACCCGTTAAAGGAACCCTAAGAGGATGGGTATGGACCCCGAGATTTCTGGGTTTCGAGCTCATGGGGCCAAGAGGGCTTAGGCTTTCGGGGTTTGCAGGCTTAGGGGTTGAGGGTTTAGGGCTTGGGGGTTTACAGGCTTAGGGGTGGAGGGTTTAGGGCTTGCGGGTTTACAGGCTTAGGGGTTGAGGGTTTAGGGCTTTGGGGTTTACAGGCTTTGGGGTTTAGGGTTTAGGGGTTTCGGATTTAGGGTTTGGGGTTCAGGGGGTTGCGAATGAAAGGTATTGTACGGCATTGCGACAAGGGGGGGGGGTGTGAAATCTCGGGGCCGTAGGAATGGAGCACTGGTCCCAACCCAGCTATGATCTGCTGAGCCCGTGCTGCTGCCATGACTGTTGCTAGCAGAGGCTCCTAGAAGCATCCTGGGGCATTGCAGCGAATGCTTCCTGAGCATTCGACATCAAAGTCGTGACTTGCGGCTTGGAACCTATTATATGTAGCCAAATCCGTGAATCAAGTCTTAGCATAGCAAAAGCAGCATGTGGTACGTAGTATATTTGCAATGTAGTTCCCGGCGCATGTTTCGCGAACTCCGAAGACATGTGAGATTGTGTTGGCGGCTTAGGGACACTCTGCTTGACAGAGCATTCGTTGGATTGTGTTGTTAGGTACATGATCGGAAAGGTAGTATGCTCAGCGAAAGCCAGGCTCGACTGATGTCTGAACCCGTCCTGACAATGCCATGGGCAGGAATCTGGCAGTAAGAATATCTTTCAACATGTCAAGCCACCTTGTACCGTGGCACACAGGACCAAATCGCGTTCTCACAAGGAATCAGTTGGGTATGTCACGCATATGTAGCTGCAACAATCCACCCAAACATTAGGCCCCTTGGAGATACGGTTTAAGGTTTAGAGTTTAGGGTTTAGGGTCTTAAGGGTCTTAAGGGAAAGCAGTCTTAAAACCCTAAGCGATAGAACCCCGAAGATCTCAATGGGTTAAGGGTTTAGGGCTGACCCCCATGCAGCGAAAGAGATTCACGAGTCAGGCAAAGGCGGCATCGCCCCTAAACACTAAGTCGAACAAGCCCTTGATCTAAACCGTAAACCTTACACCCCTAAACCCCGAAATCCCTTAACCCTAAACCCCAAACCCTGCCAACCCCTAGCCCTCTAAACACCTAAACTCTAAACCCCCGAGCCCTGTCAACCCCCAGACCCCTATACTTTAATCTCAACCCCAACCCTAAACCCTAGACCCCTAAATTCGAACATGCAGGCCCTTATCGCACCGCTCGAACAGAACTTCGGTGAGCAGAACTGCGGCGAGCACGGCAGCAGCTCGGCTACTCCCAGAGACTGCGACGACACGACTGTTGGGTTCAGGGTTTAGGGTTTTAGGGTCTAGGGGTGTAGGGTTTTGGGGTTTACGGTCTGAACCAAGATTTGTCATATGTTTTTTTTGTTTTTAAGAGTTGTACTAATCGTTCAAAGTGTGTTCAAAAGGGTATGGGGAAGATTTATCATTGGTCTTCCCCTATAGCCCCTGTGAGGCTTTAACTACAGCATGCCGCAAAACTTTTCTGAACTTCGAGGCCACTGGGTAGCCGAGACCGAGAAGCATCGCACTGCTGCTGGATGATGATAGGGGTTTAAAAGTTTAGGGATGACGGTTTAGGGCTCAGGGACCGTCGTGGTCATAGTGATAGGGCGGTGATGGTGTCCAAGATGTTGATGGCAATATCCAGGATGATCATATGGAGGTCCGACTAAGCAGAAATGTTAACTACTAGCAGTATCCCACTTGCGCCTCTCTATGATCGGGATATACTGTAACCCCAAAACCCTGTTCTAGTAACTCAATCCTCTACATTGGATCAACCGCCCTATCAAAGCCTACAGTATAGGGGCCGAAATAATTGCCTATACTATTTTGGGGTTCCTTGTTCTAATTATGGTATGATATACCCCCAAGACACTGTTCTAGTTATTAAGACCCCTACCCCAAAGGGTCCAAGTATTAATATGGTAGCTACTTTATAGGTGTTTGGGCCCCAAAAGTATATACTATACTATAACTTGGACCCTTTGGGTACATTACTGGGTTCTTGTTAAGGGATTTAATTTAGGTTGCCATAATAGGGATCTATAGTAAATAATATGGTTTCCTTATTATGGTAACTTAAATTAAATCCCTTAACAAGAACCCAGATTAAGTTGAGAAGCCTGTGCCCTAAACCCTAAACCCTAAACCCTAAACCCTAAACCCTAAACCCTAAACCCTAAACCGATCCAAGGCCGCCCCTGAGCCAACGCTCTCCCAGCTGCGGAGGAAGCACCGACGCTTGCCACGACCTCAGTCTCCCAAAGGGTCCAAGACCTCAGTCTCCCAAAGGGTCCAAGGTTTGTAGCATAGTATATGGGAGTTTCCAAAAATTAGGATACCTTATTTTGGGGGTCCTTATAATAAGGATCCTATTATTTAGGGTACTATATTAGGGTCCCCTATTTTCGGAAACCCCCATATACCTTGGGCCCAAATACCTACAAAGCAGCTACCATATGAGTACTTGGGTTTAGGGTTTAGGGACCCTAAACCCTAAGCCCCTAAACCCTAGAAAGCAGCTACCATATTAGTACTTGGGCCCTTTGGGTCTGATGGGTAGGGCTGAGAGCCTGGAGTGTACTGATATCGGCCCAGGCTTTCGCAGATGTTCGGGGCTTTATCTGGTTTTAATATGCGTTCAGGGGGGAAGGGATGTTCGTCTTTCTTGTTATCCTACTTGTCAAAATCTTGGTCGCGAAAATATTTAAGTACCGACACCAGCGAATACGTATGCCCCAGACCCTTAGCCCGAACTTTGCGGTCAAACCAGCCTTTAGCCGCTTTTGAGGCGATATCCACGCTTCGCCGAGAAAGGTGCTGAGGAGGAGAGCGCCTCAGGGTGCAGGAAGGGTTTGCAGGTTTGTTATAATAGGGTTATTGGGACTTGGGCCTACAAACCCTAAACCCTATAAACACCTCAAGCCTAAACCCCTAAACCCCAAACCCCCAAACCCCTAAACCCCCAAAACCCTAAAACCTAAACCCCAAGAACAGGCCAAGCTACAGCATCCTCAACCTTTGAACCCTAAACCCCTAATATAAACTCTCAACTCCAAAGCCGTAAATCCCTAATATAAACTCTCAACCCTCAAAACCCTAAGCCCCAAATGTAAACTCTCAGCCCTAAACCTCCTACAACGCAAAGAAGCCCTAAACCTGAACCCTAAACCCTAAACCCTAAACTTGAACCCAAAAGACTTCAACTCTTCATCTCCGCCCCAAACTCCTGGGTTAGTGGGAGGGAGACCCCTTCCTAGCCCTACTTATGTTTAGGGTTTAGGGTTTAGGGTTTAGGGTTCAGGGTTCAGGGTTTAGGGTTTAGGGTTTAGGGTTGAGGGTGAGGGAGACCCCTTCCTAACCCTACTTATAGCT